TCCAGAAGAATGAGAAGCAATTTCTTACAAGGTATAACCCACTGATATACCCACACTGATAAAAGCAGGCCTGATAGAATCCACTTGCTACAAGCATACAAACAAGACATGGAAATAAAAGGACACTTTTTGGAAAGAACTGAGTGTGGGAAAAGGATGTAAGGGTATAATGGAGTGAATGTGATCACATTATATTATGCATCTCCTAAAATTATCAAAATATCATGTACTCTTGGAAAATTATTTTCTAAGTTATCAGAGGTCTATGCAAGTGGGGAAGACTGAGTGCCTTTATGAGAATGCAAGGTCCAAGTAAGACTGGAATTTTCCTAGTTTAGAATATAGCCAGTAACTTTGAAATTATTAAGCCCAAGGATCTTCTACATAAACATCACGAAAGGTAGAATTTTCATTTGGATATAGTCAAAATCAAGTCATTCTTTAAGAGATTTACTGGCCAAAGAATTGGTCATTTTTCAAATGGTTCCAAAAACAAATTGGTAAGAAACACAGATGAGGACATGTGACCCATTGGGCAAGGATGACTTGCTTTGTTTAACAGTCTAATTCAGTCATTCTAGATGGGTAATGTTTCTGATCTATATGTGCAATGTACCATAATTTAGTGTTAACCATTCTTTCATCCAGAATGCAAGTATTCATTTTAAAAATTCTCCAGGTTGTATTAATAAAACAAAAACAAATCAACAACAATGAAAAACAAACAAAAAATAAAATGAGCAAACAAAAATAAAACCCTCTGCAAAAAAAATTAATCAAAGATTTCAACACAAATCCAGTCACACTGAACACCTTAGCAGAGAAAGCAGGAGGTATCATTGAACGAATTGATACAGGAGACTGCATCCTGAACATAGCACAAGTAGTACAGACACTGACATCAACAATAAATAAAAGGAACTTCCTGAAACTGAGAAGCTACTGTAATGCAAAGGACACAGTCAACAATACAAAAAGGCAGCTCACAGAATGTAAAAAGATATTCACTAACCCCACATATGACAGGGGATTGATTTCCAAAATCCACAAAGAACTCAAGAAGCAAGTCTCCACATCACCAAAGGATTCAATTAAAAAGTGGGGTATAGAACAAAATAGAGAATTCTCAACAGAGAAGACTAAAATGGCTGAGAGACACTTAAGAAAGCACTCAACATCCTTAGCCATCTGGGAAACGCTAATCAAAACAACTCTGAGATACCATCTTACTCTGGTCAGATGGCTAAAATAAAAAACACCAATGATAGTTTATGCTGGACAAGAAGTGGAGAAAGAGGAGCACTCCTTCATTTCTGTTGGGAATGCCAACTCATGCAGCCAGTTTGGAAATCAGTATGGAGATTCCCTAGGAAAATGGGAATCAGTCTATCATAAGACACACCAATTCCACTCTTAGGTATATACCCAAGAGATGTACATTCATACAACAAGGATATCTGTTCCACCATGTTCCATAGCAGCATTATTTGTAATAGCCATAACCAGGAAGCAACCTAGATGCCCCTCAACTGAATTGTGGATAGAGAAAATGTAGTACATTTACATAAATGAGTACTATTCAGTGAAAGAAATGGAATCTTGAAATTCGTAGGTAAATGGATAGCACTGGAATAAACCAACCTGAGTGAGGTAACCCAGTCACAAAAAGAGAAACATGGTATGTACTCACTCATGTATGGATTTTAGACATGGAGCAGTGAATTGCCAGCCTACAATCCCACCACCAGAGAGTATCGATAACAGGGAGGACCCTAAGAGAGATATGCGTGGTACCCCAGAGAATGAGAATGGGACAGTATCTCCTGAGAGTATTGGGAGCAGGGAAAAGGGAGAGAGATAAGAGGACGGGAGAGGAGCACATGCAGAGCAGGAAGGCTAAGTTTGGGGGAAATAGAAAGCAGGATGAGAGAAAACCATAATAAATGGAGTCATTAAAAGTTTGAGGAGAGATCTGGTACTAGTGAGATTTTCAGCGATCTACAAGGATGACAACAACTGGAAATCTAAGCAATAGTGGAGAGGTTACCTTAAAAGTCCTTCCTCAATAATGAGATTGACGACTACCTTATAAGCCATCTTAGAGACTTCATCCAGTAACTGATGGAAGCAGAGGCAGACCCCCACACCTAAATACTGAACTGAACTCCTGGTACCCAGTTGCAGAGAGGCAGGAGTGATGAGCAAACGGTTCAAGGCCAGTCTGGTGAAACCAGAGAAATATCTGACCTGAACAAGTGGGAACTCATGGGCCTCAGACTGATGGCTGAGAGGCCAGCATGGGACTTATTCCGATTCCCTAAATTTGGGTGTCAGGGAAGAGGCCTCGGCAATCTATAGGGCCTCGCATTATAGATCAGTATTTATCCCTGGTACACAAATAACTTTGGGAGCCCATTCCACGTGGAGGGATGCTCTCTCAGCCTGGACACATGGAGGATAGCCTAGACTCTGCCTCGGATGATATGACAGACTTTGGAGATCCCCCATAGAGGTGCTCACCTTCCTTGTAGAGATGAATGGGTATTGGGCGGGTGGTTGTGTGGGTTGCTGGGTGGCAGGGGAGGAGGGAAGGAGAGAGAGCTGGGATTGACATTGGAAGCAAGATTGTTTCTAATTTAAATTAAAGCTATATCTAAAATGTATTTGATGACTATATTACCATATGCTTAAAGAAAAAAATGTTGTTTGAGTAAGGGTCTAATTGTATGCTTGGCAGGGTAACTCACAAAAATCCTCCTGCCTTTGCTTCTCAAGTAATGGAATTAAGGCTGTGTATAATCATGACCTGCAAAATTTCTTGTCGATGGCTGATTATAAAGGAAAGTGAAAAATCTGCCACTCTAACCTATCCTAAAGGAAACAAATAACAACCCAAATCTTTTCATGGTGACATGAAACAAAAGAGTTTAAAGCACATTTCTGATCACTGAGGATATTTTTGCTGACTTATTTCCAAAAATTGTTTGCCAGTGCATAGAGATTTTCAGAACACATTATGTAACTACTTTATGAACTATCTGGTAAATAAATTATGTCAAAAATTATTTTACATCTTTCACAAATTTCTAAGTGATTACTGTGTACTTCATATTTATGATGTCTTGGAAAGTTAAAAACCAAAATATTATGCTCATTCCTTCTTATCCTATAGGATATGTTCTATTACTCCCAATAAATGATAGAAACTGCAGAAAATATCCAAACCTGCATAGCTATGTTTCCCTATATATTCATAAAGATGAGTAAAGTTAATTCATAAATTATGCACAATACTATTTTTTCAATAATGATATATACTAAAACACAAAATTTCAAGTTCTGTGACAGTCATCTCTTTTTCCTTTAAAGTGTTCCTAGATCCCTTCTTATTTGATATTATGACATAATACACTGCCTACATCATTACATACAGGGAAGCAAATTACTACATGCAGGATGCTAAAAAAAACTTGAACAATAAAACGGCTGCTGGAGAGCTTACCATTCATATTTTCAAGTTGTATTACAGACTTATAGTTAAAATGGTGTTTGCATGACAACAACATGCTGCTCAGTGGAATTAAACATGAAGACTGAGACATAAATATGCACACTGGAAAAATCTTCAGTGAATAGTGATGGTAAAGCTTGATGTCTGCATGTAAAAGAATGCTAATAGATCCATACTTATCATCCTGTAAAAACTAAAGTCTAAGTGCATCAAATACCTCTACATAAAACCAGATACATTGTAACCTGAAAGAAGATAATGTCGGGGGGAAAACCTCAAACTCGCTGTCACAAGAGAATTCTTGAAGAGAATACCAATAATGTAGACACTAAGATCAACAATTAATAAATAGGACACTAATGGAACTGAAAAAGCTTATGTAAGAAAAAGAACACTGTTAACAGGAAAAAAATATCAGCCTACTGGATGGAAAAAAGATTTTCGTCAACTCCACATCTGAAAGTAGATTAATATCCAAAGAATTTAAAAAACTCAAGAAGCTGGATGTTAAAAAAATAAAATAATCCCATTTGAAAATGTGGTAGAGATCAAAAGAATGAATTCTTAATAGAAGAAGTTCAAATGGTTCAGAAACACTTAAAAAATGTTCAACATCCTTATCTATCATGGAAATGCAAATCAAAAGGAATCTGAGATTCCACCTTAGACCAGTCAGAATGGCTCAGATCAACAACACAACTGACAGCTAATGCTGGCAAAGATATGGAATAAGGAGAACACTCATCCATTACTATTGGGAGTGCAAACATGTAGACCAATGTAGGCAACCAATACAGCAGTTCATCAGAAAGTTGGGAATTGATCTACCTCAATATCCAGCTATATCACTCCTGGGCATACACTCATTTGACAACTTGCTCAACCATGATCATTGTTTCTCTATACAAAATAGCAAGAAACTGGAAACAGCCTAGATGTCCCTCACTATAAGAATGGAAAGAAAATGTGGTACATTTACACAGTGGAGTGTTTCTCTGCTATTAAAAAACAATGACATCATGAAATTTGTAGGCAAATAGAACCATAATTAAAAAGCATCCTCAGTGAGGTTAACCAGGCAGAAAGATAAATATGTTATATATCTCCTTATATCTTTATACCAGTCATTAAATAAGGGATAACCAATCTACAATCCACACATCCATAGACGTTAGTTATAGAGAAAGGTACTAGGGAAGAATGATGTATCTCATCAGAAAAGGGAAATGTAATAGATAATTATGGATATAAGCAGGGGCTGGAATGGTAGAAACATGAAGTGAGGGGGAGGGGAGAGGGGAATGAGTGAGGGAATATGGAGAAAAAGAGCTAAAATTAAGGGTCATTTGAGGGCTAGTATGGAAACTCCCTAAATTTTATGAAGGTTAACCTAATGAGGTCTCCTACTAATGGGAAAGATGGAGTCTCCACTGGCCATCTTTTGTCACCAAAGGAGTCTTTCAGTACCAGGACTGGTGTTGCACCGAAGCCAGGGTGACGCTTCCCAAGTCTCAGTCCTGACCCCTGGCATCATGCATCGGACCACACGGATTAAAATCACGGAGCTGAACCCTCACCTCATGTGTGCCCTCTGTGGGGGTTATTTCATTGACGCCACCACCATCGTGGAGTGCTTGCATTCCTTCTGCAAAACCTGCATCGTGCGCTACTTGGAGACCAACAAATACTGCCCCATGTGTGACGTCCAGGTCCATAAAACCCGACCGCTACTGAGCATCAGGTCAGACAAAACCCTCCAGGACATTGTCTACAAGTTGGTGCCTGGGCTTTTTAAAGATGAGATGAAACGGCGGCGGGACTTCTATGCAGCGTACCCGCTGACGGAGGTCCCCAACGGCTCCAATGAGGACCGAGGCGAGGTCCTAGAGCAGGAGAAGGGAGCCCTGGGCGATGATGAGATTGTCAGTCTTTCCATTGAGTTCTACGAAGGAGTCAGGGACCGAGAGGAGAAGAAGAGCCTCATGGAGAATGGGGATGGGGACAAGGAGAAGACAGGGGTGCGCTTCCTGCAATGCCCAGCAGCCATGACTGTCATGCACCTCGCCAAGTTCCTCCGCAACAAAATGGATGTACCAAGCAAGTACAAGGTGGAGATCCTCTATGAAGATGAACCCCTGAAGGAGTATTACACCCTCATGGACATTGCCTACATCTATCCCTGGCGGAGGAACGGGCCTCTCCCCCTCAAGTACCGTGTTCAGCCAGCCTGCAAGCGGCTCACCTTGCCTACAGTGCCCACTCCCTCAGAGGGCACCAACATTTGAGACAGCTAAGATGATGCAGCTTTATAGACCCCGAAAATACGGACTTGTACAGGTTTCTGAGTTTTGTCATGATCCCATGGTATGAACAGCGCCCCCTTCCAGCAGGAAGCAGTTTGGAATGAGTGACGTCCTAATTCCTATCTTGTTTATAAATCTTTGTTTTCATTTAAATGGGGTTGTTTATAATTGGCTAGTGATCACAGCCGATCTCTTGTTAATGGTAAAAAGGGGAATTCTGTTATGGGTATTGTTTTTCATTTATTGATACAAATTCAAGGTCAATTTTGTGATGTGTATATTTCTCCTCTTGATTAAGTATTGTGCTTATACTGATCTTTTACAATGTAATGCATAATTAAATACAGATTATAGATAGTTATTTATAATAGTCAGAATTTATAGTTAGATAAGTTAGGTTTTCTAGATATACAGAAATATATTTGAGATAGATAAACAGTCTTCAAACCTCTCAAAGACCTTCAGAAAATGGCATTTAAAATGGTTTAGGGTTTTTCTTGACAATGAGAAATGTCTGCTCCTGGCAGCACCAATTACGTCTGAGAGGAAGATGGGCATCGAAGAAACTTGTTATGGAGTTTGCTTTCAACATGGCAAGGTTAGCCATTTGGGCAAGAAACTGTTCTTGCCTAGACTGTTTGACTGTTGTTGTATAATCTGGACATGCAGGACCCACAGGAAAGTGACTGCTGAACTCAGTCTTACAGGGTTCCTGATTCATGGAAGAGTCTACTAGACTTTCTGCAGGACAAAGAAAAATGACTGACAGACTGCTGATGCGGATGGACAGTTTTGAAATTTCCTGCTTTGTTGAGAAATCTTCTGGACACATTGTGGCCTATGGGCTGACGATGGATGCCCCAACGTTACAGTGGAACTTCGGGTGACTGTCCAGGTAGCAAGATGTCTCTGTCAATCCTAGTGTTTATATATTATCCTTCTGTGGTCTTTGATGGAGTTGAAGATAGATAGTTATAATTACAGTTTTCCTTAGTTATGATAAAAGATAAGCTACATATAGAACTTTGGACTCACAAGGATGGGATGGATGATATTTTCTTTAAATCTTGCTAAAATATTGTAACTATGTTCTTATTTGATAACTGTTCTGTTATACACAATTTGACTGTGCTAAAGTTAAGACCTTTCTTTTTGTTTAAACAGATGTTGGGGGAAGTCCTGTGCATTTGTCAATAAAGTACAGTTGAGCCAATAGGAAACCTAGATAGGAGGGACTAGGAGTCTAGGAGGATTCTGGGAAGGAGAAACACAGAGAGTCAAGATGTAATGCCATGGGGGTAGGAAGCCTGGAACCATTCTCCGGTAAGAGAAATACTTAGATTAACAATTATGGGGTAATTACTTAAGTCAGAGGTAGCCAGTAAGAAACAAGCAAGGCCAACAGCTTCATAATTAATACAGCGTCTTGTGTGTTATTTGGGGTCTACATCGCGGCAGAGCCCAGGCGACTGGTGGGTGATAAACCAAAGCATCTAGCAAAGAAAAAGCTTCTCTTAACAGCATTTGATTGAATTGTTGGCCAAGGGAAACTCATGAAATTCCCAGAAAAACTGAAGCTACTGCTAAGAAAATGTGTTATTCTATTCAAACTGAGAATGGGGGCCCATTTCCAAGAACAATGGTGATGCAACTCCTTGAAGATGGAGAAGTTGAGGTGGGTGCCTACATAAAGACCTCATCTCTATATTCTAGACTTTTTGGTGAATGACGGTAGTCTGAAGGATGCTGAAAAAGAAATGTGGACATCAACCAAGCCACAAAACCTTTAGCCTCCAATCTATACTGCCTACAAAGTATACTAGGGCAATTGTGGGAAAGAACTTGTAAGAGTAGCCATCCAATGTCTGATTTGACTTAAGGCCCATTCCATGAGAAGGAACTTATACTCAGCATTTCTTGAGTTACTAAGTACCAGACACTAGATAGCTCAGAGATCTAGGTTAAAACCAAACACTATTAGTCTAAGGAACTAAAAGTATAAATAAAATGATTTCTAATGATATTCTGCTATACTCATAGATTAGTGCCTCATTTAATCATCATCAAAGAAACTTCCTCCTGTAGTAGACATGAACAATTGCAGAAACCCACAGCCAGACATTGCACATGGTCATTGAAACACAGAGATCTAGTCTACATGTGGTGACTTGATTAAATTTATCCCCTCAAAGATCAGGGAATCCTGCAGAAGAGGAGGTTAAAAGAGTATAAGAGTCAGAGAGGATGGAAGATACCAGGAGAACGAGGCACTCTGAATCAATTGAGCAAAATAATCACAGAGACAGAAGTAGCATGCACAAGGCCTATATGGGTCTATACCAGGTCCTCTGGATATATGTTACAGCTTCCAGCTTAGAATTTCTATGGCACTTCTGAATGTGTGAACAAATGGGTCTTTGATGCTTGTGCCTGCTCTTGTGACTCTTTTCCTCCTGTTGGTTTTCTTTGTCTATCCTCAATGTGTATTTTATCTTATTAGGTTTTAATTTTTTAAAATGTAGTTGGAATATCTTAGAAACTTGTTGGTTTCTAATGAGAAATAGAAGGGGGATGGATATGGAGGGGTGGAGATGGGGAAAGGAAGAGTAGATGGAAGGGAAACTATGACCAGGATATGCTATATGAGAATAAAAACTGTCTTCAGTAAAAGGAAAATATTAATAAATAGAAAATGTATCCCCTTCTGTGGGTGATCTCCCATCTAGAATAGTCAATAGATGTTGAAATTAGTCGGGCAAGGTATAGAACATGTATGTAATTCATATAGGGATTGTTCTTGTCCCAGGTAGGACAGAGAGACTGAAATTTTGTCTCACTAGAAACTGCAATCATCAGTTCAAAACTTAGAAAGTAGGCCAATAAGATGAATACATTGGTTAAAGGATCGAGGAATAAGTTCTCCATGAGAAAGTGAACAGTAAGAAACAGATTTCTACTTAGAAGAAATATGACTATATTAATGCAAACCCATTACTTTGATGGATTCTAGGTCAATAAAACACACAGTAGAAGCCCATATTCAAGCACAATTGGCAGAAGGGCACATATTACAGTAGGAATAAAAATCAATAGAAAGATTTAAAAGCATATCAGAAGCTACTTTACAAATAGGAATTTCTGAGTAAATGGGAAAACAGATTATTATCATCCTATTGGAAAGCTTTATTGCCAAATGAATAGGTAAAAAGATATTCACTCATGGAAATGTGTTCATTTGTAGGGTAAGTTACATATCTGCATATACTTAAGCATATGTTAATTTGAAAAAGTCTTTTAAGTAATTCAAAATCCTAGTTAAGTGTTATGGGAGATAGGTATTGGAATCAACCAATCATTTGGTTTTGGGGGAGATTTTAAGGAGCAAAGCCTCGGCCACATGTATCTCCACTAACTAAACACAGGTATATAAAATGGGTTGCATGGAAAAACTGTCTTTGGGATGTTGAAGAGAAGTCTCCTGGCCAAAACAAACCCTGATTTCCTCCTATCATCTCCCCCATCAGAGGTCTCATGGGTGGTAGTTTCTGTTGTGTGAGCCTCACCTTGGTTTCCTAGACAGCCTGACCATTCACCAAGGGGTCAGAGAGGATACACTGTGATGTCAGAACCCATGCTTACCACTATTGGCTATGGCAGACCTAGTTAACCAATCAGAGCTTAGGGGTGTGGCCTCCATTGTTCAAGGAGGGTATATAACTCCACCATATAGCTGTCTGAGACAGAAACTTGTGGGGCTTCACAATGGGAAAGGCTAAGAAGAAGTACCAGAAGGACACTAAAGACCCCTCAACTTCACATACAACCCTAAAAAGGAAGGGCAAGATTTCACTAAAGCTTAGAACTCGGGTTTATGGCAAGACATATAGTGAATTCACTTCTATAAATGATAAAAATGTAAGTACACCCAGTCTAACTGGGCTCTCTCTACTCCATTATTGCATCCTCCCCTGGAAAACCTACCATTCCTTTCCTGGCTTAGCTTAAACCCCCTGCTCAACACACACCCTTAAAAAGCCTTGCTTCCTGGCACTTCTCTACTAACCAATGACAAACTGTGCTGTCCTTCCAGGATCTATATATCCTAGAAAGGGTAAAATGGACCCTGAAAAGGAGCTCCACTTTGAAGATCTCGAAAGAAACCACCATTCCTTCTGGGAAAATTAAGGAAGATGGAAAAGCAATACCATGCATTAAAGAAAAAAAGAAACCGAAAAAGAGGAAAAAACACCACCATAAACGAAAGAAAAAGCTGAAGAAGAAGTTGAAGAAGCTGTGGGCACAATATACACAGCTGCAAAATAAAATGAATGTACTGTGGAACCAACACTATCAGCTGCATGGTCCAAGGAAGATAAAATTTGGCCATGCCCACAAGATTGCACATAAGGGGAAGACACCACAAGATGAAGACAAGCAACTGCAGAAGCAGATCATTGTAATTTGTCGTAAAAAGAATCAGCTGAAACACAAATATGTGAAGCAAGATGTGAGCACAGACTTCAATCAAGAAAAGAAACATCTTAAAGAGGAGATGATTCCTCCCTTTGGTCAAGACATGCATTTGAAGCCAGAGGGTACCAAACAATTTGATTCAGACATGAAATTAAAAGAGGATATGATCATGCCATTCCATCAAAATAAATGTGATCAGCAGCAGCAGCTACAGAATCAGAATTTCACTCTATGTTATCAAAACAAGCTTGTGAAAGAAGAGATGATCACCGTCTGTTACCAAAACAAACAGCTGCAGAACAAGATGGTCACATTTTGTTATCAAGATAAAAAGATCAAAGAAAAGATGATTACACTTTCCTACCAAGAAAAAGAGCTGCAGGACCAGATGGTCACACACTGCAATCAGGACAAGCAGCTGCAGGACCAGATGGTCACACTCCTCTATCAAGACAAAAGGTTGAAGCAAGAGAGGGTCACCTTCTGCTATCACAACAATCAGGGGAGCCAGGGGAGTTTCACCCTCTGTGATCAACAAAAAGAGCTGCTGGACCAGATGAACACACACTGTGACTACAACAACCAGTGGCAGGAGGAGATGCGCACTGAGTCAGCTCAGGAACACCAAGCCATAACTGCCTCTGACATCCCCACTATTGACTTCAATAGCCAGTAGCCAGATGTCAGACATGCGTGTCTAGTAGTATAGTTGTTCAGAAATATCCAGTTATTACACACAATGCTATCCAATGAGATTTGCAAGAATAAATCCATTCTGATATGAAAAGATCTGTGTATCTTTGATTCTCTGGTGGTAGAACAGGGAGGTCAGAAGGGAGGATAGGAATGTGAGGGGGAAAGGAGGGAGAGATTTTGGTTTCTCATGTTTGGTAGTCAAGCAGCAAATGCATGCTCTGGAAGACACTGGAGAATATGAGCATACCTTCAGGATCTTCCTTGCTCAGTGTTCTTCAGAAAAGAATAAAGGGCTGGGAGCTCCTCCCTGTGTGCTTTGCATTGGGCGTTGGCTCAGGTTGTGGGAAGTGTGTTCTGTGGTTGGCTGCAACACATCTTGCAAAGAGAGAATACATCATTTTTAGGTAGAATATTTCCTGGTGAATATCGTTATAATCTCCCATGACCTAAATCAAGGAAATGTTCTTAGAAGGACTGAGGATGAAATCCTACATGATGCATTTGTTTATTTCTGTAAGAATGTGTTACATTTGTTTAATTATGAAAAGACATGTTTCTATTTCACCTTTTCTGCATAAGGAATCTGATTGGCCTAATAAAAGGCTGAATGGCCAATAGCTATGTAGGAGATGGACTTGCTGGGATGGCAGGCAGAGAGAATAAATAGGAGAGGAAAGACAGAATGGAAGAAGAGAGGGGAGAATGAGGGAGAGAGACATAGAGAAATAGAGACAGCAGGGAAGTAAGATATACAGAAATAAAGAAGGTAAAAAACCCATATGCAAAATGTAGATATAGAAACTGATTGAGGTAAGAGCTAAGATAAGGATGAGCATTCCCAACTAATAAAATGTCTCTGTCATCATTTGGAAGCTGGTTGGTGGCCTAAAAGGAAAAGCCTAGTACAACGATCTTATTTCTATGCATAACTGCATGTGCAGACAATTAACATTAGTTGTATTGTGGGAAAACAAATAGGAACTAGGCAAAAGTTCACATAATCGAAGTCAGTCAGTCAAAACAGAGAACCACACATGCCATATTTAAACAATGGAATTATGTTCTATCCTTAATAACAACCAATATATGTAAGGGGACCAATCTGACCTAGACTGGCTTCCATTGGTGATAAGACAAACTGTACTCTGCATGAACTTTTAGGAAGAATTCCATCTCTACCATTTTATCTTTATGCATAATTGCATGTGCAAATAATTACCAACAGATTCTTTGTGGGAAAATAAACAGGAACTAGGCAAAAGCTTACATAATCCAAATCAGTCAGTCAGTCAGTTAGTCAGGTAGTCAGTCAGTCAGTCAAAAGAGAGAACCAAAAAATGCCATATCCCTTAGTGTTCAAACATCTCCTTGAAACCCATGAAAGAAATACCAATGCAATAATTAGGACCCTCGAGTATTGTCACCTTGTGACCTACTGTTTCTTATCTTTATTAAACTTTTCTTTAAATATTTTATTTTTGCTGTTTTGAAATCTGTGTGCCCCTTTATTTCATTCTTGAATAAGCTACCAAGAACCCAGAAACATCAGGCACAAACCCTAACAAGCAAAATTAAAGTGACAAGTTCAACACTTATTAATCCACCTAAGAATTTGGTGTAGAAGATAGCTTTGTGATTGGATTGCATCCAAAGCTGTCAAGAAGGTAGGGAATATTACAGATACAAGTCTTTATTTATTATTGTTTATTACTATTGTTGTGTGTGAATGTACATATGTATGCCTGTGTGTGTGTGTGTGTGTGTGTGTGTGTGTGTGTGTGTGTGTGTAGTCAGTCATGGGAGATCAGAAGACAACCTGAGCAAATCAGTTCTATCCTTCTACCCTGTGGGCCCTGGGCATAAAATTCATATCACCAGGCCTCACAGCAAGTGACCTTACCTGATGAGCCATTCTACACATGACTTTAAAAGTAAAACTTCCGTACAGATATCTTTATCCTTTAGTATTACAACATTTTTCAACCTTGAAGTATTATCTTGAATAGCTGTAATGAAATAGAATTAAGATACAGTAAAAAGTATATGCAAAAATTGTTTATGGGTAATATGCATTTTCCACATGAATACACTTGTTAAAACATCATGATAGTTGTAAGAGTGATGATAACTGACCAAGGTTTTCTCATATTTTTGTCTCTTTTGTGTTGCTAACCTGAAATGTAAGAGTTTGGGGGTTTCACAAAGAAACAACATTCATGTAGGACACACTTCAGAAGCAGAAAGTTAGAGTTTTGGCAATCTCACAATCATTTTCTGATATGGGGCCACTAACTTCCCAGTAACTTTCTTTGACATTACTTGGTATGAGGACCAGTGAGTGGAGGAGATAGAAACAGACCATTCTTCCAGAGAGGAAGTAAAAAGCACCATTGATTTTTAGTATTTCCATTCTCCTAGAAAGTAATTCAGTGTGTGAAGAATATAAAGCATCTTTATCATTCCCTTTTTGGTTGGGTCAGTTATAAGCTAATCATCTGCATTTGGGCTCCATTCGTTAACAAGGTCATAAGGCCTTTTATTACTGTGTTACTACAAGAGCTGTAGTGATGTCAGCTCTCTTTCAAACTACACTATATTTTGGAGAAGTCATTCCTCCTGAGTAGACACATACTGACTTGCCTCCTTTAACTACCAAATTATTTCCATTCTAGAGGTTTGCTGAAAGAAATAAGTGTTTACCCTTTTTGTAGGTGTGGTGCTTCTGGCTTCTTTTGTCAGTGTTCTATACTACATGAAAATATTTTGAGGGTCAAACATCTGAAAGATGACTATGGTAATATGTAATGTATACCATAGTAGAACTTAAGCATTTAATGATTCATAATTATCATTTTATACAAGAGGCTGTAGTGAACATTTTTTGTTATGTTAGTACCTTTAGGTGCCATATAACACTGTCAGTATTGCTTTATTTATTGTGACCTCTGTGTACAAGGTCCTATAACCATGTAAAGAAAAATACTCTTTTATCTATGCTTGCAAGGGAAAATATCTGTTAGAAAGAGTGTTTTCCTTTTTTAAATCTCCCTCGTGCTCCTGAATAGAGGGTTTCTGTTCTTCCAAGTATTTGACATTTGTACTAGTATGTCATCAGATTGCATTTCATCTGATGGGTTTCCTTATTTCCACTGTTATTTTCTTAGACTTATTTTGGAAGCTTTCTACACTTTCTGCTACATTGTCATAATTACATACCTATTTCAAAATTCTTGCTGATTACTACAGCATCTTTTTAATTTTGATTATATCTACCAATTTGGCATTCAGAAAGGAGTTGCTTGGCTTGTTTTCTTATCTTGCAAATAATTCATAAGTGAATGCCAGGCATCTTACATGGAGATAAGTAAGACTAGAAGAAATAAATCTTGTGACTGGAAAAGGTATATGGATTCTTAGACCATTTAAATGAGTAATCTAGACATAAAGAAGACTGTTTTATAAATGGACATTGTCTGGAATTATCTTGTTTTGAGATTGAAGTTCTGGGTTTCTGTGTAGTTTTATCAAAACTAGTGCACTTTCCTTAGTTTTCAGATATATCATATTTCTGCTTCATGCAAGATTTTCTCTCTGTGACTCTGTCACTTACTTAAAAAAACAGATATTTTCTGCTTGCTATTCATGCCTGAAAGAGTAGTGATATGGAAAAAGAATTCTCTCTTCTATTTTTAACTTAGTCTGAGAACTTAGCCTTATTTTGTGCTTCTCAGTGTTCCCAGTCATATTACCCATGGCAGCCCAACTTCCACCTTTTATTTATAATTTCTGCCTTGTATCTAGGAGTAGGATATCTCAAATAGTAATTGGTATATAATTCTAAATCCTGTAGTATGGCATATTCTCCACCATCAAATAAAGGGTGTTTTCCCCTCTACTAACTCTGCACTAATTGTCTTTTCTGCATACTGTGTATCATACTTGCTACACCTTCAGGAGATTAAGGCTTTTGCAAGACTTACCAAGAAGTAATACTTAGGCTTCTGATCTTTACTTCCACAGAATCTGACTCTTGTTGCTTGTATGTTCTCCTGGAGTACCTCTTATTTATCCTGAGCAAATATTGCAGGCCTGTGGGAAAGAAACTGAAAACTGACAGTAACTACTAATGCTTCTGTTCTGTCCAAGAGGAGTTTGTTTCCATACAGCAAAAGACTGAATTTAGCAACCTATTCAAAATATAGCTACCTTATTTTTGCCCACTTCTATAGCAATTTCATATTTTTCTGTTGTGACTAAGTTAAGATAGTCTGTGTGCATTATCTTTTACTTGATGATTATGAAGTCTCAGCTCTCTAATGGTCTCAAAACAATACTTTTTAATTGATCTAGATTTATCCTTATTAAGCAATTAACTAGATCATCCAGCTTTCCACAACCTTAAAGGTAGTGGAGAAAATACCTTTAATCACTATTCTCTAGGCAAGTGCTCTAACACTGGGTTATACCCAGACCCCAAATATTGTGTGTGTGTGTGTGTGTTTGTGTGTGTGTGACACTTGTTACCCTTTTATGCATGCAAGACTTTGAGAAGCTAAGAAGTAATGGTTAAGCTTCAGATTTTTTATTGTCATGGAACCTGACTCCTTTGTGTGTGTGTTTTTGCATGTATACACATATTTGTTAGGATGAATATAATATCAGGATAGCTAATACTAATATTTTATAAGACATTCATTTTTAATTTTTGTACAGGGAGATTTAATGATATTGTCTGTGCCACAACATGTATGTCTTTTATCTCCTTCCACCTTGGCATTCTGAGGCTGAACTTTGGATCCCCAGGCTTGACATCAAACTAATTTACCCAATGAGGCATATCTCAGACCCAAGAAATTTTAAGTGAGTTGTTTAAAGGAGGAATTAAAAACCTTTTAAAGTTTAAGAATCTGAGACTAGATAGCCAGAGACATAGGGTAAAATCAAGCACTACTTTTCTACAAAAAGAATGTAGCGATAAAATGACTCCAGGTAACATGTCACTACACTCATAGATCAGTGCCTTGCTCAGTCATCACCAGAGAAGCTTCCTTCTGTAGCAAATAGAAAAAAT